TCCTGGAAAACCTGGAAAGTCCTGGAATTTTATTGTGGCATTTTCCAGGACTGGAAAGTCCTGGAAAAGGTTTACTGGTCCTGGAAAGTTCTGGAAATCTCTTAAACTCAAGTAAAAAAGTATGAAATGTATGGCAGACAGTAAGGAGAATGTGATGTGAATTTCAGAGTTCTGGAAAAATCAATCTGAGTCCGGGAAAAGTCCTGGAAATGTCCTGGAAGTTTGTTTCTGAAAAAGGGTACGAACCCTGTCTTTCTCTACCATCTGCCACCACATGATCTTTTGGCGGGTGTGGTATATTGTCGACAAATTCTGCATTTTAATGGTTAAGTTTTGTATTTGTTATAGGCAAGCTGTTCCATTATTGAACTTATGAAAACAGACTTTTGTCTTCTGGATCATTTAGCAGCAATGAGGGTTGGTGAATTAGAAACACTTATCCTATTAATCGAAGGCTTTCATGCTTTAACTCTTATCGTGTTGAAATTAAAAGGTTTTATGTTATGTTACGTCATGTTACGTTACGTTATACTACTGCCAGTATAATGTATCATAAGGAAAACTGATCAGGTCATGGTGTTTTTTTCTTAATGTTTTATTTATAGAACTTCTTTCTTTTGGAGGCTGGTGATGCAATGCATCAGTTTTATGTTGAAATATTTAACAAGGTAAGCTGATCAAAATTATTGGAATGTTATGCCACACCACAAGCCCACAACTATTTGGTGGAAGTGAAATAGTTATATGAGTGCAACTTTTCAGTTACATGCAACGGTATAAAGATCATTTTTAATTAATGTTTTTACAGGCAAGGCAACGTGAAGTGTGGCAGGACATTTCATTCCTTAACAGTTTAATACAGGAAGCTTTACAACCACGCTTTCCAGAGGCTGTTGAGAGGTGAAGGGTGTTTCTACCAACATACATCCTAGCTATCTAGCTACCCACATGCCTAGCTTTCATCCTTCCCTCCTGGCCTCCTTCTCTCTTTGTTATTGATTCTTAGCTCCTTTGCAACTTCCATCTTTCCCTCTACCCTTCGAATTCATGTTTGCTCCCTCCCCCTTCCATCCTTAGTCTTTTCCTCTGATCAGTTCTTCATTTGCACTGTAGCTAGATTAGTTTTGCCTACTTGCCTTCCACTCAGTTTTTAAGTTTAAATTTGGAATCAATCATTGATTTCAAGGGACTCTCCTTTACTTGTGTTTTAGGTTAGTCGTGAGTTTATCAACGAGTGGTGCAACAAGCCGTAGCCAGCTGGGTCAATCACTGCATGGAATGGCACTAGACTACAGGGTTAGTACTTCATTAAATGATTAATCATTTACATTGTTAGGAGCAAATGAACTATTACTTCATAAAAAGAGTTTTTTAGTTGTAATTATGTTATACAATCATATTATTTTCTTATTAATTCTCAGACTCCGTGTAGGTTTCTTAACTGTTCAGCTTATCAGATCTTATCAGTGAGCAAACAAGGCTTATAATTACTGGACAATAAACTGTTAATTAATCAGTTAAGGAAATCAAACCGATTAGAACCATAATGAGCAACTTTTCAGTGCATGGTACAGTAATGGACTGATCTCTTGTTCAGTGTATTAAGCAATCTTCCTTCTTCCAGCGAATGCGGTGTCAGAACAGTCTAAGCGCAAGGGTGTTTGTTGTTGACTGTATTGACAAAACTTTCTTTTTGTTGCAGGCACCCTGGCCAGTTAACATTGTCATTGACAGTTCTTGTCAGAAGCTCTACAATCTTGTGTTCTTGTTCCTGTTAAAACTGAAACAGGCAAAGTGGAGTTTGGATGAACTTAGATTTTCAGGTTTTCTGCATAATTTTCCAATTATTTTATTAAATAATCAATTTGCTTGTGTAGATGTTAAATTTTACATTGGAAAACTTTACAGTTAAACCCTTATTACATGGCCACCCTCGGGAAAGGGATAGTGGCTGCTAAAAAGGGGTTGGTCACTTAATAGAGATAAAAAAAAACCAGAAATGGTCCTCATCAGGAATTGTGATTAATGGCTGCTTGCTAGAGGTGGCTGTTTAACTAGGTGGCTGCTTAATAGGGGTTCGACTGTAATAATATTATTGCTTTTTGTCACTATTTGTTCTAAATTTTGTTAGGGATACAAGGGAATCCTGATTTTTGGAGTGCTCAGTTTTTCAAACTCAATATCTTGTACTCCTAGTGAGTCTTATGTGTAGGGTGTTTATTTTTGAAAACTGAAGGGATTCCAGTATTTTAATATGTTATTACGTCAGTTCAACTTTGTAAGTTACCTGTATTGCCGGAATGATACAGCAAGAGGCAGTCCAATTGGTACTGCTACAGTCATATAATATTTCATGATATGAATCACATTTAAAAGGGTTTGCAACCAAGTTTTTTAAGTTGGTAGATCTAGATGGTATTTGTAATTACACACTGTCAGTTTCATTACTGCAGGGGTACTATTAAATTTAGTACTTATGCCCCTCCTGCTGATTGCACATTGGTTCTGTTAGATCTTAAAGGTGACAGACGACAGACAAAGAGTGATGCCAGTGATGAAGATGAAACAGAAAGCGAGACTGAATCAAGTGATCCAGTTTCAACATCACCTCCTGATCAAGAGTTGCTGCACAAGATGTTTGTGTTCAGGTTCAAGTTGATGCAGTTTATTAACAGCATTCATAATCACTTTATGACAAGAGTAAGTGTTAAAAGTCATTACACCCTTTAGCTAAATGTTTTTTGTAATGGACACCTTTTATACATGTACTTGTAGGCTGAAGTTATTGCTCCATTGAGGACACTCTTATAATCCCTGACTCCCATTTATTGAATTATCCATGTACTGCAATTTTAACCCTGTTGATACCTGCTTCATGGAGTGGAGGGATTATTATAGCCTGTGTCACAGATGCCCTCTCTAAAGAAAATATCAGAGAGGGTGTCTTTCTGTGTGTTGCTGTTCTTAATCATGGTCCTTGCATAAATTATCCAGGCATAAAACAATTTCAGTGTCACAATAGCTGACATGACACGAGGAGACAACAAAGGAACTTGCTCCCTACAGGTGATGTTTGCATGAGGAAGCTCATGACCTTTGAATGTTCACAGATAAAAAACAGACCACTTGCAAAATAATTTTGTTACCATGAAATGCTGATTACCTGATTAACCTGGCTTTTTCAACTTCAAAATTCTATTAAAATCTATATCTAAGTCACAAAGTGTAACAAATTTCCATTGTGTTCTCCACAACCAACACTTGAGAGATATGCTTGTGCAACCCATAAAATGCAATGCACTGAGTTAAACAATTTACAGGTGTTACCCTTATTAAACCACAAACAATCGATCAACTAATCAGGTCATTTTCCACACATTCCTGGAAAAGTCACATGACTTCGGACACGATTATCAATGGTAACAAACAGATGCATCTCTCTAATTTTTTCTTTTGGAGAGGGTGGCTGTGACACAGGCTAATTATTGCAAAGAAATGTACTCAGTTAACAAGAATGTCTGATAGTAGCATACCCAGAATAACTTAGCTAGCTGTAATTAAGCTACTAAGGCTTGTAATTCAATTATGTATTAATAAAGTTACTGTTACTGGCAGGCAGGTTTCAATATAAAACTTGTTAAATTACATACTTTATGTATTCAGTCCTTTATTAACAAAGATATTGAGAAATTTACATCAGGGGGTGACATAATTCTTTGCTTTGATATAATGCCATTTATATTTTACATTCTCACTGAACTCTAGAGTTTTATGATCACTAAGTGCAGATTATTTCTGCAGATTATTACAGAATTTGCAAGACGTTATTTCACTCTGATTAGTTTATTTTGACATTTCATTTTGATCAACAGATATTACATTCAACTGTCTTAGAGTTTCAGGAAGCTTTAGACCAGGTATTATTATTTCTTATAGAAATTCAACAGCTGAATAATAATTGATATTTAGGTCTTTGCCCATTGAGAATATACACTTAATTATATGGCCAGCTCAGGGAGTGGACAAGATGAACTAATTACTGCAAAATGATTGGCTACCCAAGCAGGCAAGATGGCACTATCTTGCTCACTCGGAACTACCTGCTGTGTCTCAAAAGAAAAAAATTCCCAGGAAGCCGCATAGTGAGTTCTTTTTTAAGCTTGTTCAGTCAAGATGGCTAGAAGTTGGCCTTGTTCTTTCTTTGCGGGTTTATGGACCTTGACTCCATCTTGGTCCACAAACATGCAAAAAAGAACTTGCCCAATATCCAGCCACCTCGAGCTTATGCATGGCCAATAAGCCATATTTATCATTAATAAATAATAAGTTCAATTCATAGATGTCAAATTTTGGTTTATAATTGAAGATAAAAAAAAATTAACTTTGTATTTTTTCTTCAGGCAAAGGACCTTGATGATCTCATCAAAGCTCATTCTTCTTATGTCCAGAAACTGTATGATCGATGTTTGCTTAGTCAAAAGGTGTGATACAGTAAAATGAATAGACAAAGTATAATAGGACATAACGCACCCAGAGATTAGCATTTATAGCTCTTTACCTGCATCATTACATATTAATTAATCTCAAATAAGAATGACTGAGATCCCTTGTCTGAAATGTGAAGAGCAAATAGGCCACATTTTAAATTTTATCCAGTTGGTGATGACCTGAAGAAATGTATTTCATACCACCCAGTAACTCTAAAATATTCCTTTTCAATGTAGGTTGGGTATTTAAGAGAAGTGATTCTCAAGGTTCTTAATTTGGTCCTGATGTTCCAAACATATTGGGATAATGGAGCCCAACACATCAAGTAAGAATGCAACTCTCATTATTTCATTTATGAACAGTGGATGACTATGTTGCGTTTACAAATTATGTGCTAAGAGGTTTTTCTGGACCAAAAACTAGGCTGAAACTTTTTTTGTCGTTCTTGTTTTCTTTCAGTGAAGAGAAATTCAAGAAAATTGATGAAGAATTTACCAAATGTAACACCTTCCTTGTTTCTTGTCTGGAAAATATTACCAAAAGAGGAGCATTTCCACACTGTAAGTTGATGTTTCGTCTTTCATGTACTCAACCAGGGTGGTACATAATTATTATTGAAAACAGTCTGAATCCTGTCCATTGACAATTTTTTTTTTTCATTAGTGGAGTCCTTGGCTTTTGCTTTAGCATCATCTCCAAGTATTTCTACAAAGGGTTAACATGTCAACTGTGGATGCATTATTGGTTAATTATCAGGCCAGTCTGACTCAAGGATTATTATCCTCAAGCTCTGCAGAGTCTGTATTCTGCCATCTCCATAGTAAACGTTTTCCATTTTAATAAGCAGTTGTCAGTTCCTAAAGAAACAGTTGTGGTGCGTCAGAGACCTAGTAAAACACTAATTACACAACTTAAAATTATGAGAACCATTCATTAGCCTTTCATCAGAGGGCAAAATAAATGCTTTGATGAAAAACGCATGCATGAAACTATAGCCTAATTTCTACTAGTATACTAATGCAAATGCTGCAATCTGATTGGCTGAGCTACTCTTACACTATCAGCTATTAGTAGAATTCTGCTATTGTACTAATGCAAATGCTGCAATCTGATTGGCTGAGCTACTCGTATACTATCAGCCATTAGAATGCAGTAGCTGTCGGTCGTCCACGAAATGCGACATTTTTATCGTTTTTCCGAAGTTTTGGAAGAAAGTTTAGTTGTAATTGGATAATTATATTCCTGAGAAGACAAAAAGGACATAAATGGGTTCTTGACTTAAAAAACTTGAAATTATTGGAAAACCGGTGCACGCACGTAAACAACTGCAAATTTACCAAGGACAATTCAATACGTGCGATTGTGTAAAAGCGTAAAGTTCAATAATGCATTGAAAAATATTTGGAAACCATTATTTGCACTAATTTAAGTTAGAAATCTACTAAAACAATTAGATTATTTGCTCTCAATTTCTATGAGGCGATAGTTGATTGGGCCTTTGGCCTCATCAACTATCACCTCATAGAAATCTCGAGCTCATAATCTAATTGTTAATTAGAGTGCAGTGGCTCTCAGTTGTCCAGGAAATGGCGACTTTCTTTCATAGTCCTGAAGTTTTGGAGGAAAGTTAAGATACAAATGAATAATTAAATTCTTGAGAAGTCTAAAACAAGGACATTTACGGTTTCTTGGCTTTAAAAACGTGAAATTATTGAAAAAATGGGTGCAGTACATAGACAACTGCAAATTTCCATCAACAGTTCAGTCCGTGCCATTTTGTTTAAGTTTAAAGTTTAATAATACATGGAAAAATAATTTGAAACCATTATTTGCATTCATTTTAGTTAGAATTCTACTAAGATTATTCCCTCTCAACTTCTATGAGGTGATAGTTGATTCGGCCTTCGGCCTCATCAACCAACACCTCATAGAAATCTCGAGCTCATAACCTAATTAAATAGTTCAATGTTCTCAAGCAACTTCAAATTGATAATTAGTGTAATGTTTGCATTCAAGTCTCTCCGGTGTATAAATGTTCAATTAATAGAAGCTGTTGAACAGTATGTCCCTCCAAAGAGGACATTGTATAAAATTATAACTTTTGGACAGTTGGAAATAGAGTTGACTAGACAAAGCAACAAGGACAGGTTTATTTCTAAATACATAGGAAGATATCAAAAATCTATTCTGATAGTACATTATTATTTATTACAGAGATGTACATATATTTGTTTGTAAGTTTCTGCATAATCAAGACTTTTCTTGTATGGATGTAGCTCTTATACAGACTAGGTTGCTTTCAATACTTAAAAATATATTTTGTTTAATTTAATGAGGTTTTCCTAGTTACCTGAACCCACTGTAGGAGCTTGCGCTATAAAATGTCTCAGATAAATAACAAGGCCATGATGAAATTTTTTAGAGGCCTGATATTTGAATTCTTAAAAGATTAGAAGGTTTTGCATGATGCAAGTCAATACCATTAAATGATGTCTTGGTTTATGTAACTTGCTTACCAAATAATTTTATTTTAAAGGCTGGGATGGTTATTCCTTGAAGGGATATTTAATTATTACTATGTGTTACTTGTCTTTGTAAGGAAATTTTTCTTACTTGCAAATCTTTTGGAGTTTCCGAATAAAATTACTCATACCAAAAACATGCAAATCTCATTATCAGACAAGAGTAGTCTGAAATTTCATGTACCATGTAGTATATGTATAAATGCTGTATTTTGTTTTTCATGCAATACCCTTAAATTATGAGAGATATTATGAATCTTTTTTAATTGAATTAATTAACTTAATAAACTAAAATTCTAATTTATGCAATTGTCTCCTTATTGATGAGTCAAATTGAAGCTTAGTCTTACAATACACTTTGTGTAGTTTGCAAATCAGTTTTGCTTTTCAAAGCTTTTTTCTAACTGGAAGAAGAACAGTAGAACCCTACTTATACAACAATTTTGGTACCATAAAATTGAGGCTGTACGAATAAGGCCCTCTTTACATGACCCTGGGTTACTTTCTAACCCAGGTTGAATCACCACAAAAGGGTACCCCTTTACCAATCAAATCTTTCAGGGTCAGCTCCCCTTGCCAGGTAACCCTCTTCTCGAGATTCTGGTTGACCTGGCTAGAGGAGTTGAAATTTCTTCCAATTTTTTCATGGTAAACACTGGGCCAAAACCTAATCCTGGTTGGTACTTTCACTCAAGTAACCACATGACTGTGTTTTGTTTCTTTTGTACACCATGGCCTACCACCATTCCATTTTACTGGACTTTGTGGGGTTTTTCATTTTTAATAGCCCAAACCCGCATCAGGTTTGATAGTAAACCACATGTTATTACAGACTGACCAGTGGGTGCTATAAAGTGTTTATGTTTTGCTCTTTCTGTGGTGATTCAACCCAGGCTAAAAATCAACCTGGCTCGTGTAAAGGGGTGGTCATTTAAAGAGGTTCATAAAATGTGTTGTTCCAGAAAATATCCCTACCCCCAACCCCACTGAAAATTCCAGTTTAACTTTATACTTTTTCTTGCAAAATTTTGGCATTTGAGACTTGGAAATTCCAGTGACTTCCCAAATGGGGAGTAGAGATAAAATGACCGCCTGGGGAATCTTTTGGGCCAAAAAAACTGAATATCTGTCAGTAATAACGAAGTGGTCGTATCAGTTAATGGGGCTGTCATTAAGGCAGGGTTCCACTGCACTCAAGTTTAGAGGGACACAGTAAGGATAATATTCATCATTAAGTAATGCAAGCTACCTCAAAGAGGAGTATACCCCAAGAACTTCCACAAAACATTCAACTACTGAGGTAAAGTTTAATGACTACATGTAGCTGGCTGCCACAAGTCTCCCTCTGAGGCAGTGGTAAAGTGTTCAAATGATTACAGTGTAATCATGGGTTTTAGCTAAGTCATCCAATAACTGTTTTCCTTGCTGTCCCGTAAACAGAGTTAGAGTATGTGAAACAAAATCTCTGCAAACTGACCTCCTGAGTCGTTTGTGCCATTAGGACTTGATTGACTTGTGAACCTGAAGTACACGCCGTCGCACTCTACAACAGTCTGTCCGCTTGAGCCATACCATGAACTAGCCCCTGTTATCATTGCAGAAATCTTATACTGCACATTCTGTTGTAATGGAACAAGATTATCGAACAGAACATCAAAACCAAAATAGCCACCAGTTTTTTCAGCATCGGTTAGGTATGAGCCTTCCACAGAATAAAGTTCTTCCTGGTCGCTGTCACTGCTTTCCATCACAAAAGACAGCTTGAGACACACCTCATATGAGAAGCCCCTGTTGCCAAACAGGCGGACCCCACCCATGTAAACGGGGGTATCTACTGTAAAAGCTACCCCATCAGGAATACCACTGGAGTAGGCCCAGCCATGGCTGACCTGAGGGAATCTTTTACAACGTGAAAATACACGAGGGGGAACTAATTTCCGTGCTCGCTTCGAAAATTTAAGACTACTTATCGACACAGAACTGAACCACATAAACAATTCGATGACGTCGTCTTTGGAAAGCAGGCCAGATTGAGGTACTTTTCGTGCAAACTCCTCCTGTGTCATCAGGGGAAAGCGAATATTGCTCACAATCTCTTCGCCTGTTACTTTCCTTTTATTATCTGTGGAAGGCTCGATCTCTTGCCTCGCACACTCTACCACTGCCCAGCGCTCAACAGCTTCAAAAAGGTTAATTTCGTGTACTGTGAGGCAATCGCGTTGGACTATCTCTTGAAGCAGTTCTTTCGTAACAGACGAGAATGTTTCCGATCTCAATGCCTCCTCTGCGCTCGCATCCACAACTTCCCAGCAGCGAAGCACAAGTTCGTTGTCTTCGAATTTTCTGGCATGAGGTAAGATGTCGAAGACGTTTTCAGGCGAAAGATTTTCGGTCAAGAAATTCGTGCAAGCGACCTCAAGTTCGGGGATCATGTACTTTTTGGCCAAGTAAGAAACCTGCATCACACAACTTCCAGTCAGTTTTACTTCGTCGCAATACAAAAAGCGAAGGAATTCAAGAAAACCTTCAGAATCACAGTCAGGGAGCTCGACTTTGTTCTTGCTCTCCGCCAGTTCACCGTAAAACATGGCGTACAAGACTGGACTGCTTACAGCTAACACGAACTTGTGAGCTGAAAAGATGACTTCCGCTCCTGAAAGATCCTTGGTCACAAAAGAAATATCACTCATCAAAGGATTATTCAGCATAAACGCCACTCGCTCTCTGATGGTCTTTCTTTTAGTCTGCCAGACTTCAACCTCGTTGGACGCCATAGGATTCTCAGTCAACGTAATTTGGTATCGAAAAGCTCTTCCCTCTTACTTGGTCCTTGTCTCTGTGGTCTCTATAGTCTTACATGAAGTAAATACCGTCTCTTCGTTGTATTCATTCTCGTTCCCATAGCCCTTTTCGCTTCTCTTAGCCGGCGGGGCCTTGGCAGGTCCCAGTCCTAGATTCTAGGACTTCCCGGTCTTCATGTATGCAGCAGGATTCGAGGAATCTTTGTCTCAGACCTAAGTTGTATCAATCTGAAGAGTGTCAATACTGGTAATCAATACACAATGAGGTGAGATTCAATACTCAAAAGTAGCGAGAGTCGGCATTTTCTTAATACTCCTTAACACTTAACACTTAAACTATGCGTCCCTCGACAAGGTGTTGTCAGAGCTTGAGGTCAGGTTTACTAGGTGGAAATCAGACCAGGAAATACTCTGTACATGTGCTTTGGGAGATACGTGTTACAGGAAGACGCCTGATAAAGAAAGCGTCTCCCCCATCGCTGAGTTTTACGAAATCGACGGCGAGATTCTGGGAGCCGAGCAGAAAATGTACGCTATTTTTCGATGAGCGCGGGTTCCACTTACAACTGTTTCAGGAATACTGCAGAAAATGCATGAGAACACGAACTATTTGATATGTTGTCAGAGTTTTCCAATGTGGTGAATATTCTCAGTTGTAGTGATACCTGCTGCATCGTATTCTGCAGAGCGCGAATCATTCACTGCGTGGCGCAGAATAAGAACCTACCTCCGTAGCAACATATGGGGCAACAGCTTGTCAGTAACATCGCACTGATTAAAGGAGCTCGGTCACAGTATTTTGAGTTATTTTGGCCACACACAAAATTACCTTTAAATGGTAGGAAACTGAAAATAACTGTTTAATAAGATAGAAAAACACCAAAGAGATAATGATAAACCATAAAGGAACAAGGATGGCTAATGATAAAGAAGATTAACACGGATCATCCAAACGACGAATTTGAAAATTGAGGCTAAACTTTTCAATATGCGGAAACCGTCACTGAGTTCCTTTAACACTGAAAGGAATACGGCCAGCTCTGAACTAAACAATGACATGGATTGTATTATTGATATTTTCGGCCGTCGCAATGGCAGAGACAGTTATTTCCGTTTCAACGTGATCTATATGATAGATTCATATATACAAGAATACATTCAGTCTCACCATGGATTGAAATGTAACTGAGAAAAAACTTGGGAAACTTGGGAAAATTTTTTGGGAAAGTGATTCACCGCCCCCAACTACCCCACAAAACCTGGAAAAAATTACCCTTAAGCTTACGCCTGTGAATGGGGTTTCATTAGCCATTCTCTACCACAATTTCCTTCGGCTGAAAAGAAAAGTGAAAGAAAAAAGGCAATGATGACGTGAGACGGACGACAATGGGCCACTTTTATAACAAATAACTGTACCAAGACCAGAGATAAATTCAATGGAATACAGGTTAAAATTGTAAGTGCATTGAAAATATGTTCAACGAGATCGTATGGATAGGAAAACAGCGCGAGCTAGAAAGCTATAGGACCCCTATAGACTGAATGGTGCCTGACTTGAAACTGAAATTAGCGTTAATTTCCCCAGCATTTATGAATTGCGTCACTCGCTGCGGATTGGCGGGCTTTTTGTTGCGTTATCTTGCCTTGAAAATTAGCAAGTTATCACGGAAAGATGATATCTGTCTCGCTCAGGGATTAAAATAATATTTTGAAAGGTTGTAGGCTCGACTTGCGGATGGCGCGAGTGAAGATATGACTAATTTATGCTCAGTTTAGTGATGAAAGACCTGAGAGGCTTTTCCGGATATTCTGCCAGACTGTTCACAGATTGTTTTTCTTTTCAAGCAGGTGAATTAGCGTGTATTGGATAAAATTCATTATTAGAGGCAATGTTTATCATTGTTATCTATATGGTGGTAATGTATAATCGATGGCTGATCTACGGATTGAAAGTGATATGGGTTACTGGCGGCGCCTACGTCTGACTACGTAAGTTTTATTTCAGAAATCATACCGGAAAGCAATCGTCCTACCTACACGTTACAGTAAAAATTTTTACTGATTATGCAGGGAAATATAAACTGAACTGAAATGAATAAAAGATTACTTTTTCGTGTTCGCAGTCTATTTTAATAACTGTTAAATGACTTGGCCTCAAGGCTTTTATTAAGTCCGACCTTTAATAGCCTACGACTACGTATAAAACCATCCATCACCGCCCCGAGCCTTTTTGAGAGCGTTAAGAAGTTAGGGGTTTTTTAAAACATAAATATTGCCCAGGCATGTCTGGGGGAAAAATTCAAAAAAAAAAAAAAGGTTTTCGCGAACGTTCTGAGTATCTCTTTTAAATAACTTATATATTTACAAAATTAATTACACAATACAAATACTTTTTAACATTCCAGATGCATAAAAGCACATAAAAAACAAAACGATTAAATTTTAAGACGTCCACAAGTAATTTATCCTCACATTTTCAAGAACGAAATCTACACGCTAATAAGAAATACATTTCTTTGCGAACCATTTTGTTCATAAATCCATAAATCCAAGGGTTTAAAACTGCGCTCGTGTAAGCCAGGAAAGTGTAAAACAGATACACTTGACGAGGAAACCATTCAGTTTGTGTTGTGTCAATGATATCAATAATCACGCACGGAACCCAACAAAACGCAAATCCTAAAATAATCACGAGCACAATTTTGGACAGTTTCACTTCTTCTCGGCTTAAAATCGACCTAGAATCGTGCTCCCCTCGGGTTGCTTCGTACTCTCGGCGATTGGTCCGAATAGTGTGCAAAACTCTGACATAGCAGGCGAAGATTATAATGGTTGGAAACGCTACAAAGAACACACTGAATATAATCGTGAACCGTAGGCTTTGTTTAATAGTTGCAAACGTCATAACGCAGATGGCTTTTCCAGGATGAAAAATGTATCTCGATGAAAGTGAAACTACAAGAGTGCCCATGATGACAGCAGTTAACAGACTGACAGCCATAATTATTAGTAACGTTTTCCGCTTCGTGAAGAAACGTTTGTATAGCCAAGGACGAACAACATTTAGGTTCCGATTTGTTGCTGTTAAGGTGATGATTTGAAGAGATTGGAAAACCAGTAAGTGAATGCTGAATCCTTGAATTTGGCAAACTAGCTCGCCGAACGGCCAGTAATCCATCATAAGCGCTCCCAGTGTTAAGGGCATCGCGACAGATGCTAACAATATGTCCGTCACACAGAGTGCCACAATGAACATGTTCGTAATAGTTCGTAAAACAGGTCTTCTGTAAACCGTTATGCAAACCAGTAAATTTCCTCCCAGAGATAAAACATTGATGAGAAAAAGCAGAGAAATTTCGACGATCTTAAGTGCCAAATGCCGTGATCCAAGCGTATTTTTAGGACCAGTCTCCAGAGAAATGTTAGACATTGTTGCGCGGATGTAGTGTGACTATAGTAAATGAAGGCAAACTAACTATCAACGGTATTTGTTATGGATGTATGCTAATATCATCAAGTGGTGGGCGGGGAAAACAAGTCAATTGAACTGAGGGCAGGAATTTGCATTTTAAATTCAAAAGAAACAAAGACTTTTCCGTGATACATGATATTGGTGTGTGCGGCTTTAGCTGTTTCCTTGCAAGGATTAGATGAAATGACCTTGTCGCGCTGTTAACTTCTGCTAGCCTATGCTTGCAAGTATACCGTGACTGGAAAAAATTAATTATCAAAGTTCTCTGAGAGAATTTCAAAAATGAAACATGCTTTAATAACACGATTTAGCAAAACTGTTTTTCATCTCTACATTTCCATTTTCACCATCGATTTACTGTCGCAGAAAACTCCTTTTGTATTTGAGTTTATAAACAACCATTGTTACGTGACCGGTGGGCGGTCTTCCATTCATTTTGCAAACTTCTATAATCATTCTGGAAATTTCAAGGAGACTGAAGAGTCTGAAGAGGGAAGGCAAAAATAGCAGCCAGATGGCTACATCGTTTGCTATAATGTTAATGGCTGAAACGTGCTGCAACCGACTAAATCAATTTATAACAAGCTGCACACAAATAACAAAAGACCACGTCTCACGTTATAGAGGATCATGGGTGATGCAACCAAAAATTGCACGAACTATGTTTTTTTAACGGAAGTATTAAATCAAAATCCGATCTCTACCTCAAGGCGGAGTCCAATTCCACAGTGCAAAAGGTGATTCCAATTCCGTCTGAGATCACACTCGAGAAAATTGATCTTTTTTTTCAGTTGTACTCCCCTAAAGGCCCTTGCAGTTCGGAGAAAATTGTCATATATCACTCATAGTATTAATCCTTAATTGCATTCGCATTCATGCGATTACCTCTGCAGATCGAGTATTCTTCTTTTGGGTGTCACCCATGAAACCAGAACATTACAGTGGAACCCCCATAAAGCGGCCACCCTCAGGGAAATGGGAGGAGAACACTAATATCGGGAATTTTCACGAAACTTAGTTGAAACGTCAATTAAAAACATGCCTGAAGGCTTGTGACTACTGTTGTACATAATATAGACTACGTATCACTGTTTTTCTGGTTCACTTGTCACGACAATATTATATCTTTTGAAAATCACGTGGTCTGCACTGAAGTCATATTTTTTGCCATCGGGTTAATGGCTTAGTCCCGTGACAACAACCACAACAAACGTGTGTTTGAAAGTTTTCATCAGTCGTGACTTTCAACTTCGGACACTTGTCTGCCATTACTTTTTCCAAACCAAAACCCAGCGGGTCCCAGCGATGTGTATTAAATAAGGGTTTCCTTTTTAATAGAAATTTTACTGACAATAATTTCGGGACTTTGATATCTGGCTGCTTAATACGGGTTGGCGGCTTAATAGGTTCGACTGTATGCTCAAAATTATGCTTGAATTCAAAGTTATTATGCTCCTAAAATGACCCTTTTCTGTCACGTAGTAAACATACTGTTGCACAATCTTTTACATTTCTGATCCCCCTTTCCCCAGACTTTTGAAAAATATCAGTACATTGATCATCATTTTGCCAAGCAATTTCTTTTTTACTTTGTACCACTTTTTGCAAGTTTGCGAAAAAACACCTTTGGATATAGTTCCGACAGTGATGTGCAAGGAGGGTGTTGCGTTGTATTCTCGTTTTAAATTGGTTACTGCTAGACTAAAAAAATCAGTGATCAAGAATAGCTCACATCACATGGTCAAGAGAATATGATATCATATATATTATATATAAAGTATAATGTGACTTTTTAGTTTATAAATTTATGAATAACATCGAGCATGTTTCTGACAAATAATACTCGCCTACTTGGCCCCAGTCTCTTTATACTCAACGTGCGTGACATAATAAGTGTGCGACATTCCCGTAAACCCGCGATTGGACCGCGAACTAAACCTTAAAGTCCGCAAAGAGTCCTAAGAAGTGAGTTTTTATTGATCATGAGAAGTACTGGATCTCATTCCGCATGGTGATCCACTGCATCTAACTCATTTTCACGCAAATGCGCTTATTTGCACCGTAATTAATGAGACTTTCTTGTCTCATGGTCTTCAAAGAGTTGATGTAAAACCTTCCTGAGAGAGCATGAAAAAGCGTGGTAGCGAATCGAAAAGTCTGGCCCGGTGGTAAGCATTTCCTAGCAATGACCGGCTCAAAAATTTATTTTCTACAAAGTATTGCTGACATCAGTCTGCTGACATCAATGTTATAAAATCAATTGTGTTCTTTCAGTCAACATCCGACGTGGCCATTCAGTACCAGGCACACTGCTCCACATGACTTCAACTCTCAGAGAAATAATTAGCGCGTGGCTACAATCAGGAGAATGAATATCAAGAACAGCAATTGCAGAATGCTCAATGATTGCTTTTCAAAAGTAAAGGAAACATAGCTGGCAACAATCGATATAAATTATGAAAGTGCCGGGTAGGTGCTTACAATTCCAGGCTCACAGTACAAGTCCTCAGTAACTCGGCAATCTACGGGATGCCATTCATTATACAGACTCGCATGATCTCTTTCAAACAATACTAATGGTTTTTAAATTGTTTGGTTCATTGTTAATTATTTCGCTTTAATGAAAACGGTGCTAATGAAAAAGGACGGTAAGCAACTATTTTCATTAGATACGAATTATCTTTCCGGAATAACTTCTAGGCGGTTGTTTTTAGTTTACTTAATGCGCGAGATGTAGGTGGGAGTAGTTTGCCAAAAAGCTTTTCTTCTACACCGCAAACAATTGCCATCTCCCAGCACAGATCACGGAGCAGCAGGTCAAAGCCCCACGCACTTTTCAAGCGTCCCACTGGGATTGACGTTTATCTAAAATTGAGTTGAATTTTGCATTGAACAGCATGGCCCTCTGACGGTATCACATCCAACCTTCCCATCATGCGCCGCGCGTATGTCACATTGAGTGTGTTTGCCACTGTATTTTTTTATGCAATGCTTTTGACCCGGGGGGGGGGGGGGGGGGGGGG